GGAACGAGGAGCTACACTTGGACCGCGCTGCTCCCTGGCCGAATTTGCACCATGGCTTATCCGGCTGGGTAAATTTACTGCGTCTTCTTGCTTGGCAGGTTATCCCGTTCCTGATGTAAACAGAGTTTGAGTAGCCGCTGCCGGATTTGGCCTCGTTCCTTTCTTACAGAAACAGGATTGTGGTACCTGGGATGTGCCTCGTGCAGTCACGGTGATGGAGCACATGCTCACCAGTTTCTCTACCTTCAATACAAGGATGTGAAGAAGCCCATCTACAGTATGTGGATCTTTAATACCTGATTAGCATATAATAAGCTAATCCGCTCAACATCGTTAGTCGTTGGATGATTCAGATAGCATGAAGTATGCATATTTTGTTGAAAATGATCATAGAGGTCACAATTCAGAAGTTATAATCAGCTACAAACATTTTTGCACACATAGTTGTTTTTGGTTGGACACGATTATTGGGAAGTTACACACACGGTGATCATTTTTGGTAATGGACACAGGACTCTTGGTAATGGACTTCTTACGTGGCACTTAAATTGGACAGGCAACTGCAGCGTATATGGAGTACAAAGAAGTCCATTACCAAGAGTCCTGTGTTTAAAAATGTTAACTGTGTATGAAAAATATTTTAATGTGCTTTTCACAAATGTTCAACATGTATTCAGATAGTTTTCTAAAAAAACATGTATTCAGATAAATATTAGCCCAAAATTTAAAAAGTGGTCGAGCGCTAACTGGAGAGAACGAGCGGTCGGGCTTTTTTGCCATGCATTAGTTGTTTTTTTGTCTGCTAGTGCATGTCGTTATCAGTATGTAATGTGTTCACACTGGTTAGTCCAATTTAAAAGAAACAGCTTCACGTACAATTATTTTGGTTTTCTGAATTTTTAAAAAGCCATATCTTTCAAATCGCGCGTCAGAATTCAGATCCGTCTTCACTGTTGAATTCTTTGTGACGAAATCTTTAAAACTAAATCCCCCATGAGTATGTTTTGATGAATTTTTTTATGCCAACTTTGGCGCTATATTGTGCAACTTCAGTACTGCTTTGTGCAACTTTAGTACTGCATGGTGTAATTTTTTTCAAACTCAGTTTTTTGGAGCTACATCCACAGTAGTTGTAGTTGCACACATAGTAGTCCTAGTTGGCACATGCATGGCCACAGAGTTACATAATCTGGTCCGCATAGTCGCATATGAATTGTCATAGCTTGTAATGTAGTCTAGTTGGACACACATTGATGTTTACTTGACTTCTAACGTAGTCTAGTTGCACACACATTGATGTTTAGTTGGCAGGAAGACTAGTTGCACACAATATGCTTAGTTGGCTTATAATATTGTCTAGTTGCACACACATTGATGTTTAGTTGGCAAGATATTAGTTGCACACGCATTGATATTTAGTTGGCAGGACTAGTTACACATACATATACTCAATTGGCGCGGCAATGTAGTCTAGCTGCACAATGCAGTATTTTAGTTGTACCATATAGCACCAAAGTTGGCATCAAAAAAATTCGTCAAAACATATCTATGCGGGATCTAGTTTTGAAGATCTCGTCGCGATGAATCCAAAGGTGAAAACGGATCTGAATTCCAACGTGTGGTTTAAAAGATATGACTTTTTAAAGATTTAAGAGGCAAAAATAAATGTGTTTCACAGACTAGTCTGTACGCATTTGTTGTACGCATTTAATGCTAATAAAAACATCCACTAACTGATAAAAAAGACACACACTAAATAATTACTATTTATAGATTATTAGGGGACCAAAACTTGCAATTTTAGGCCGGCCGCTCGCTAGACCGATCCAAATATTAATCGTATATTTCAAAAAAGAAATGTTCAACATGTGTCTAAAAATGTCCAACCTGCACGGAAATGTTCAATTTCTATTATTTTAAATTTGTCATGTATTTGAAAATTCCAAAAATAAAATAGAAATAACCAAAAATAACAAAAAAATATAGTAAAATAAAAAATGAACAAAAGAATACTAAAATAAAATCAATAATAAATGATAGAGAAACATACTCCCTCCGTTCCTAAGTATAAGTCTTTGTAGAGATTTCACTATGGACAACATACGAATGTATATAGATGCATTTTAGACTATAGATTCACTCATTTTGCTCACTATGTGGTTCATAGTGGAATCTCTCCAAAGACTTGTATTTAGGAAGGGATGGAGTAGAAAATATTTAAAAACTTGCACAACACTCCGAAAATTGGGTGGGAGATTTATTTTTTCTGAGACAAGACGGAAGGTTTCTACACTAGTTTATATGGACACATGGATGATTCGGAAAATTCCCTAATGGACCAGCCCATTTGGGCCAACTGGCAGTAACTAGATATAACATTTACATAAATTCCATAAAAATATTCACGGCATATTAAAACGATGTTCAGTGAAAATGTATTCGCTATTTTAAATTAGTTCTTATCATTTAACCAAAAGATTATATCTTTTTAAAACTTTTCACACGTTTAGATATTTCATAAAAGTTTATAAAAATGTTCATGAAATTGTAAAAAAATTATTGGCATTATTTCTAGAAAACTTATACCATTAAAAAAAATCCGTGACACTTTAAAAGATTCAGGCGTTTAAACATATGTTCATGAAATGTAAAAAACTTCCCATGCAAATTTTCCAAATTTTCATTACAATAAAATATCTTATGCAATTTAGAAATTCTTCATAAACCCTTATGAAAGGTTTGCATGTTTTACAAAAAACAATTCATTAATTCATTGGAAAATGATCAACGCTTGTTTAAAAATGTTCATTGTGTGTTTAAAAAAAATTAAAGCGCATTTCATAAGTGTTCTACATGTATTCAGGTAATTTTCACCGTGTATCTAAAAAATTGTCAATGTGTGTCTAAAAAATGGTCAACCCTTACATGAAAAATGAGTACAACTGCATAGAAGCACTCAAAAGTGCCGTAGGGAAAGCACACAATCGACATTTCAAAATCTAATGCAGAAAGCGTCATGCATCATCTTGACGAAAAAGAACAATGTACGCTTGGATTTGTATTGTCGCAAGATGTCCACGAGACGTTGAAGACGAGGGCTATCGCGCAAGAGTACGTAGGATGCCAAGATATAACGTATGAAGGCCCCTCTATAAACTGTGATGATGTTTACAAGTATGATGATGAGTCTGCTATAGTGTGTTTTTAGCTACAATTACCATAGTGCCTATCTTAACCGTCCTCTTTTTTCCAATCAAACCCTCATTTTTACTCGACCGTTTAACCGTATCCCGTTCGAAATGGCATCACACGCTTTCCCAGTGGATCGCTTTTTTCTATACACACAAGAGATTCCCCGGGGAGAAGAAAAGACAGAAAAGAGATTGGAGTCAAGTCAACGTCTTCTGCTTTGTTCTTTTCTGTCTGCAACCAGCAACGCGTTTACCTGCCGGTGTATGCTCCATTAAAAGGTTGCTCCGACGCTTCCCGTTGGATAGAATCATTCGCCATAATCTTGGACGCCGACGAGCAAACAACTCTGCTGCTCCATCGTCGCCTTTTTACATTCCTTCGTTCTCCAGGTCGGTGCAAGTGCAACTACTCCATCTTGCTCAATGCGTTGGTTTTCCTGTCAAGGAGATCGAGCAATGCTATTCATACGTATAGGTTCTACAAAAAAAATGTACTAGTAGTTCAAACATGTAGGTATTGAAGCTTTACGTAAGAACATGGTTTTCCTTGCATAAACATTTTTGGTTCCAGTTAAACTGCTCTCCACTGTCGGATCAAAGATCCGACGGTTCAGCAGCCTTCTTCTTTCCCTGTTTCTTCTTCCAGCAACAGCCGCCTTCTTCTTCCTCTGCTTTTCT